AACAACGCCAAAAGAAATGTGCAGCCTGTGGGCTATGGAGTCCACCTTGAGAAGATTCCTGGCCACGTGTTAACAATAATGGCGAACAAGTGGAGACTGACTTTTTGAAGCTATTAACATGCATTTGTTATCATTTTACAGTGTATTATCCGTTAAAAACGATAGTCTCATGTAAGTGTTAAAAAAATTTTTGAAGAATGCTGTATGCTTATTAGTGTCAACGATTCAGAGACAGAGTTTATAGGAGGCACCTTCTTTAGTAACAACTTCCACGGTCTCGTCCGCACACTCTCCACAGTAGCTCAGCCTGGCCTGTACACAACACGAGCCATATAAAGCTGACGGCGCTGACTGAGATAGCGAACTGCTCTGCTTCGTAGCGCGATATCTAGCGGTGACGTTTAGAGCGATATCTAGCGGAGACGTTTAGCACGATATCTAGCGGAGACGTTTAGAGCGATATCTAGCGGTGACGTTTAGCGTGATATCTAGCGGTGACGTTTAGCACGATATCTAGCGGTGACTTTTAGCGTGATATCTAGCGGTGACGTTTAGAGCGATATCTAGCGGTGACGTTTAGAGCGATATCTAGCGGTGACTTTTAGCGTGATATCTAACGGAGACGTTTAGAGCGATATCTAGCGGTGACGTTTAGAGCGATATCTAGCGGAGACGTTTAGCACGATATCTAGCGGTGACGTTTAGCGTGATATCTAGCGGTGACGTTTAGCGCGATATCTAGCGGTGACGTTTAGAGCGATATCTAGCGGAGACGTTTAGAGCGATATCTAGCGGTGACGTTTAGCGTGATATCTAGCGGTGACGTTTAGCGTGATATCTAGCGGTGACGTTTAGCGTGATATCTAGTGGAGACGTTTAACGTGATATCTAGCGGAGACGTTTAGCGTGATATCTAGCGGAGACGTTTAGCGTGATATCTAGCGGTGACGTTTAGCGTGATATCTAGCGGAGACGTTTAGCGTGATATCTAGCGGTGACGTTTAGCGTGATATCTAGCGGTGACGTTTAGCGTGATATCTAGCGGAGACGTTTAGCGTGATATCTAGCGGTGACGTTTAGCGTGATATCTAGCGGAGACGTTTAGCGTGATATCTAGCGGTGACGTTTAGCGTGATATCTAGCGGTGACGTTTAGCGTGATATCTAGCGGTGACGTTTAGCGTGATATCTAGCGGTGACGTTCAGCGCGATATCTAGCGGTGACGTTTAGCGTGATATCTAGCGGTGACGTTTAGAGTGATATCTAGCGGTGACGTTTAGAGCGATATCTAGCGGTGACGTTTAGAGCGATATCTAGCGGTGACGTTTAGCGCGATATCTAGCGGTGACGTTTAGCGTGATATCTAGCGGAGACCTTTAGCGTGATATCTAGCGGTGACCTTTAGTGTGATATCCAGCGGTGACCTTTAGTGTGATATCTAGCGGAGACGTTTAGAGCGATATCTAGCGGTGACGTTTAGAGCGATATCTAGTGGTGACGTTTAGCGCGATATCTAGCGGTGACGTTTAGCACGATATCTAGCGGTGACGTTTAGCGTGATATCTAGCGGTGACGTTTAGCGTGATATCTAGCGGTGACGTTTAGCGTGATATCTAGCGGTGACGTTTAGAGCAATATCTAGCGGTGACGTTTAGCGTGATATCTAGCGGTGACGTTTAGCGCGATATCTAGCGGTGACGTTTAGCGTGATATCTAGCGGAGACGTTTAGCATGATATCTAGTGGAGACGTTTAGCGTGATATCTAGCGGTGACGTTTAGCGTGATATCTAGTGGAGACGTTTAGCGTGATATCTAGCGGTGACGTTTAGCGTGATATCTAGCGGTGACGTTTAGCGTGATATCTAGCGGTGACGTTTAGCGTGATATCTAGCGGTGACGTTTAGCGTGATATCTAGCGGTGACGTTTAGCGTGATATCTAGCGGTGACGTTTAGCGTGATATCTAGTGGAGACGTTTAGCGTGATATCTAGCGGTGAAGTTTAGCGTGATATCTAGCGGTGACGTTTAGAGCGATATCTAGCGGAGACGTTTAGCGTGATATCTAGCGGAGAGGTTTAGTGTGATATCTAGCGGTGACCTTTAGTGTGATATCTAGCGGTGACGTTTAGAGCGATATCTAGCGGTGACGTTTAGCGTGATATCTAGCGGTGACGTTTAGAGCAATATCTAGCGGTGACGTTTAGCGTGATATCTAGCGGTGACGTTTAGCGCGATATCTAGCGGTGACGTTTAGCGTGATATCTAGCGGAGACGTTTAGCGTGATATCTAGTGGAGACGTTTAGCGTGATATCTAGCGGTGACGTTTAGCGTGATATCTAGTGGAGACGTTTAGCGTGATATCTAGCGGTGACGTTTAGCGTGATATCTAGCGGTGACGTTTAGCGTGATATCTAGCGGTGACGTTTAGCGTGATATCTAGCGGTGACGTTTAGCGTGATATCTAGCGGTGAAGTTTAGCGTGATATCTAGCGGTGACGTTTAGCGTGATATCTAGCGGTGACGTTTAGCGTGATATCTAGTGGAGACGTTTAGCGTGATATCTAGCGGTGAAGTTTAGCGTGATATCTAGCGGTGACGTTTAGAGCGATATCTAGCGGAGACGTTTAGCGTGATATCTAGCGGAGAGGTTTAGTGTGATATCTAGCGGTGACCTTTAGTGTGATATCTAGCGGTGACGTTTAGAGCGATATCTAGCGGAGACGTTTAGCGTGATATCTAGCGGAGACGTTTAGAGCCATATCTAGCGGAGACGTTTAGCGTGATATCTAGTGGAGACGTTTAGCGACGACGGCGACGAGACTACAGCGACGACGAGATTAGTCGACTCCCAGAACCGGCAGCCTCGAGCACCCTGCTCTCGGCCCCTTTTATGTTCCCAGCGTGGCCTGGCCCCGCCCTGGCCACGCCCCCCTTCTCGAACCCGCTAGCAGGTTCCAGGGGCCTCCAGACGGGGTCCTCCGTGACCCTTGCTCAAGTTCCTCCTCTCTGCCAACATCGTGCACACTCTCACTGGCGCGTGCGCTGGCTGTCCGCCAAAGTTGCCGCTGCTGTCCACGAGCCGGCGCTGTTACACTACACTTGTATAGAAAAAATAGTTGCCAAAGATACGGTGCGTGGGGAAAATGTTTTTACAACGGTTTAGAGTATACGTGAAAGAGACTGGGAGGCTCACGCTTTGCTGCCATCTGGCAGCTGAATGGTCGCCGTGGAATGCAAACAATGCGGGGCTTAACGGTGTCGCAAATCTCGAGTATGTTATGGCGGGGCACACGGTGCGTAGAACGGGACTAGGTAACGGTACGTTGACCATGTTATAGCGAAAGTACGTAAAGCGGGAGGGCATTAATCGGGGCGTTGCTGTGCATGCTGCTCTCAAGAAAACCACTACTAGTAAACGGCCGACTGCATCGGTTTTTGCATTTGTGCTGCATGGCTCTCCGATGTGTTCCTGGGTTATTCTGCATCTTGTTCGACATGGTGTCCAACGTTTTACTCCATGTGCTGGGAGCTTCAAGAGCTGAAATTAAATTCCTAAAGAATCTCCCAGCATGTGGAGAGAAACGTCAGACGTGGTGCCGAACAATGCGCGGTCACAACCAACAGAAACAGGGAGAGCGTGTGGACTCCTCTGTTTACACAGCCACTCACAAAATTCCAATAAATTTGATCAAGTACTTATTTGCATTGTTCAGCAAATGTTTACCATTGTCTCTGAATAGCAGGCACACCCATAGAATGCATAGTTGGCATTGAACATGAATTTTGAGCGTGTGAACCATTTGTGTAACAATGTTATCCTATAGGAAGTTGGTTTTATGATAATATAATTCAAAACCATGTTTTTTTTTACAATAGATGTGAAGTTTGCATGGAAAAGACACTTATATTGCTACGATATTACTCACAATTTTAAAACGTTATTTTTTTAAAAAGCCGTTTTGATAGCTTCTGGCAGTGTATGACATTTCCCGTGGCATCACATGGTATAGGTTTATTTATTTCAAAGACGATTAATTTAGATAACTTAACGACGTAAGACTTGGAGCTGCGGCGCAGTGGTTGACCCACTGGCACTTTGAAGACAGCGATCTGAGTTAAATTTCTGACCTGGGCTAACTCCGGTGGCAAGTGCTGTCTGAACCAGTCCTAGGAACCTCTATAACCGACTCACACGGACCCAGCGTGGTGAATTACTGTACGCTCAAATCACCTTCAGGGCCCACCTGTCGTGGGGAGGACCTCATCCAGCAGTATATTTGCAAAAGCACTGTACACGTACCTGAGCCGAGGATAGGTGCGTAGGTTGGGGCGTGTGTTGGTCAATGTGGGGTTTGCGGGGCACTATGTATTTATGTATGGATGTTGAAGTTCTTTTGCACCATACGTAGCCCACCGTGCTAATCGGAGTCGGCTTACAGCGGTAAGGTGACACTATTCATACTAAACTTTGTACGGTATGAGGGCCATGATGATCGCATTGCCCGTGTTGTAACATATTACCATGCTGATGATTGTTTTTCATACATATTTGATTGCATGGCAGTTGTATGATGTAATTATTTTGTCGTTCATTTCATTACTTGTGTAACTGACAGAATGTCTGAGTAGCATTAATTGTAAAGTTGCAATAATTAGAACAGTTTTGGCAGGCTTATAATGCGTAAACTGCAGTGAATGAATGTTTAGAGTAATCTTTAATCGTGCAGGAAGTATAGCAAAGCACAAAACAATGCAATAAAAAATATTACAAGATTATATGATACTGATATCACAATAATCATCATCAAGAAAACGGATATAGTTCCCCGAAAAACGATACAATACAGTACCACATGGTACGATGCAACACCCTACAGTACCATATCTATAAAAATTCGATAGGAACGGCACGGTATCGTATCATGAAAAATGATATCGCGGTAAGCGTGGTATTTAGTGAGCGACGGTGACCCTTAACCCCCTCGCGGAACTTGACAGACACTTGACCAATGGGATCCCGGGCGTGGAGCGCTTCCCCCTCAGCTTCAAGTCGCAGTTTTGCGGGCGGACGTTCCGCCACGTGGTGCTGGGCGTCTACCACAACGGCCGCTTCGGCTCGCTGGGCATGAGCCGGCGGCCCGACCTCATGCACAAGCAGCTCACGTTCCGCTCGCTCTACGACCTCATCGCCGACTTCCAGGTGCGTCTCTCTCCCCCGTGGTGCCTCGTGCCGCTTTGTCCCCGTTCCGTTGGAGTGGCCCGCGCGCGTTGGGGCAGCGCCTCGTCACAAGACGTACGGCGTGGGTTTCGGAGGACCGTCGGCAAAGCCGCGTCGGCAAAGCCGCGTCGGCGGCTCTGTAAGTAGCTCCTCTCGCTCGTCAGCGGCAAGCGTCGGCAAGTCAACCGATCGCTCTGAAGAGCGTCGAAAATGTACGGCGCCTTTCACGCCTTCGCTCCCATTCTACCCAGGTCAACGACACACGTGTTTTGCCGCCTAATCTACGCGTTCCGAACTTCCTTGACGCGGCCGCCGCAGGAGGCGTACCGGGGCTACCTGCACACGGTGACGCGCATCAAGGTGGGCCTGTCGGTGCCGCACGACTCGCAGAGCTTCGAGACCATCGCGTGGGGCCACCTGACGCTCGACACGCTGCGGACGGGCGCCGCCGAGACGCGCAGCCGCTTGGAGCGCCACAGCAGGGACATCCGCTGCAAAGTACGAGGGCAGAGGGCGAAGGCCAGAGGGCGTCTCCTTGCGCCCGTTTTAAACGGAACCCGCTTGGCGCAGTGGAGTTGATTGCGCCGAGTCAACGTTGGGTCGGCCCGCTCGTGGAAGCGTGCCGCTGTACCGACCGGGCTGCGTCCGGGCCACGGCTGTCGTTGGCAGCTCCAAATAAAGCGGTGGAGCGGTGATCGGGGCGCTGAGCTAGGGATCGCACTGCCTCAATTTGATTGCTGCCCACCGTTAACATCGGTGGTGAGAGAAATCTGGAGCGGTCCCCAGGCCTCTCCGTCACCAACCCGCACGAGCCGGCGTGGTTAATTGGTCAGACAATCGTCACGGCGGTAGATTGACAAAAGGCTTCAAATTACAATTACATCGTCGTAACGAGGTGAAACCACTTAACCGCGGTGCTATAACCACTGGAAATATTCACATAATCACTTCGTCTCCTACTCGGCCAGAATGGGAGTAATCAACTCTCTGACCTCATCAAAAATGCCAAGCAGCAATTGTTGAGGCAATCCATTTTCTGTCTGTTCGACGTGTCTGTGTTGCGTGTTTTTTAGTGTCTGTGTCGTGTGTTCTACGTGTGTGTGTCGTGTGTTCCACGTGTGTGTGTCGTGTGTTCTACGTGTGTTCTACGTGTGTGTGTCGTGTGTTCTACGTGTGTGTGTCGTGTGTTCCACGTGTGTGTGTCGTGTGTTCCACGTGTGTGTGTCGTGTGTTCCACGTGTGTGTGTCGTGTGTTCCACGTGTGTGTGTCGTGTGTTCTACGTGTGTGTGTCGTGTGTTCCACGTGTGTGCTCCCCAGCTGCGTAAGAGTCTCTTTGGGGTTCCGTCTCCACCGAGGGATCGTCGCCGGGGCAAGTCGGTGTCCCCGCACCGAGGGTTGAGCAGCGTGCTCGGCAGGCCCGGACGAGACGATGGACTGTGAGTGAACAACAACAACAACCGTCATTCGCCACTAAGTGGCGGTGACGTCACCACGACGCTTGTGCCAGGACATGTGCACCTTGAGGCCACGTGAAGTGTCGAACGCCCGCTGGCAGGAGGTCACGGGGCAGACCCAGGTGCCACGGGTCGACTGAATGAGATGACTGGCTGATGCACCACCTGTGCCCCCTACTGTGCCAACTTGTTGTGCTTTAGCCACCCGGCGCTCCGCTCGTTGTTGTGAGCGTCGTTCCTCCGCCCTCTGTTGTTGTTGGAGGGCGACTGCCTCCAACTGCCCAGCAGCGTCTTTCATGAGCCTCCTCCACAGAGGCCGATCTTGACCGCTGGTACCAGTCATCGGCAAGTCCACTCAGCTCCACGTCCTCCTGTACCACATCACTCCATCTCTTCTGTAGCCCGTTTCGCGCCCGTGTAGCCCCCTCTATCCGGCCGAACAAAAGCTGTTTCGGCATGCGGTGGCTGGGCATGCGGGCTACATGACCCAGCCAACGCAGCCTTGCCTGCCGGAGGAGCTCACCGATGGGACTTTGCCCAGATCTTTCAAGGATTTGTGAGCTCCTCACATAATCCAGCCTGCTTAAACCCAGGATGGATCGTAGGCAGGCCAGCCTAAATGTTTACAATCTACGAAGATGTTCCATTAGGGGGGTCCACGTTTCGAAAGAGTAGAGAAGGGAGGGAATGACCGTGGCTGAGAAGACTTGAAGCTTCGTGCGGAGCGACAGACCAGGTAGCCCACACAGCGTTACGCATCTGATGAGAAGATAATGCCGCTTGGCTGATTCTGACTGAGACCTCTGCTGTCAAACCGGAGCCGGTCATGAGCACACCGCCCAGGTATGGGAAACTCTCCACTCTCTCCACAATTGCCCCATCACCGATTGGGAGTTGTGGGGGTGGAGTGCCCGATGGTACAAAATACCCAGGCAGGTGCTTAGTTTTGATGGGGCTGAAGGCCCCACCTCTTAGTGGCATGCTCCAGTTTCAGCAGCAGCGCCTCCAACTCCTCCTCTGATTGAGCAGCAATTATCAGATCATCGGCATACATAACGTGGTTAACCAATAGGGAGCCATCCCTTGACTGCAATCGGGCATCGATCAGCCTCCCATTGTATCTGTACCAGATGGAAATTCCTCTGGTACAGCCATCAAAGGCTTCACGAACTACGTGGTCGAAAAATATGTTAAATAATGTGGGAGCCAGAGGATATCCCTGTCACACCCCAAGGTGAACAGGGAATGGCTCCCATTGCCAGCCACGTAGTTTTACCCGAGCCCGCTCACCATCATGAAGGTCCTTAATGATCGTGAGCAGAGGGTCAGGGACTCCGAAAGCATGAAGAACAGAGCCCAGGCCTACTGATGGTATCAATAAAGCAGAGATGTAGGTCTTGTTGAAATTCCCTACACCGCTGCTGTAGCAGACAGACAGAAAATATGGCATCTGTGCAGGACCGCCCTTTCCTGAAACCGCAGTGGGGCTCCGCAAGCCTCTCCTCAGCGTGCCTAGCAAGGCGATGTTGAATAATCCTTGCCAGGACCTTTCCCGGCACACTGAGGAGTGAGATGCCCCTATAGTTGTGCGGTCCCCCTTCTTAAAGAGGGGGACCACCAGGGCATCCTTCCAGTCCTGCGGAACCCGACACAGCATCACACTCAGCTTCAAATACAGCATCACATACAGCTTCAGGAAGCTCACTATTCACCGTCCGCTTTCGATCGTTGGCTACGTTTTAAAGGCTTCAGATCCACAACGTATAAGTACTGTTGGGGAAAACATGCTGCTTGTAATTTTAGTGTCTGTCTGATAAGGGGCTTGGAAATCGACTTTCATATTTATTGTTATTTTATAATCATCATCATCAGGTGCTATTTTGTGTTTCCGCACATCTGTTGTGATCTCTCGCCGCTTTCTCCGCTGTAGTTTTTGCTCGATACGATTGTGCCAAGCCTCTGTCTGCTCCGTCTTCCCACCTGATACTAGATCTTCTCTGCTCTTGTCATTGTTATATCCCATTGTGCCAAGTCCTCTGTCTGATGTGTCTTACCATCTGATCCTAGATCTTCCTCTTTTCCATATTCCATCTATCGATTTCCATTGCATCGGTTTTCGTTTTAGCTTGTTTGTGGTATCCGACTTCTTTAGTCGCAGGTAGACATTTAACTCTAGCTTTAGACCTATGAATCACTCAGCTACCACTCTCAATAATCATTACGAAGCAGGTTTTGTGGACAGACAGTCGCTTCCAACCAGAAGGCGGAACATCAGCAGATAGCTTAACACTTGTCTTGAGATGTAAATACCAGCTCAAGAAACTGACACGAGCCACCGTGCTCAGCTGCTACACCTATTTTTACATTTCAATGTGGGGCGATTCGAAATGCAGACGTGAAAAGCCCAAGAGAATGAGGTTAACCTAGAGGCTCTAAGGTCACTACTTAGTATCTTGTTACTGCATTTCTTAAGCTTGCTTTGCACGTTTTAATTGGTTCTGGGACCATGTGCTCTGTGGCTCATATGACGTTACGAGTTTGCGTTGCCTATTAAAGACTATACCATACCATCCGGAGTTATTTTCATAACTAAATTAACAATCTAATGTAGAAGTGGCTGAGTGGTCCGAGCACTGAGCCAGCACCGCTGAGATACCAAGTTCACATCCAGGCGGCTGCCCTGAATTAAACTGAAATCTCAAGTATCGTTATTTGAAGGCCTCAGCCTGTTTACCAATGACTGCACCAAAAATATGATGTTCAATTCGTGTTTTCACTTGGTGCGGTGGTGGCAACACCACAGTTGCGTTATGCATCCAGCGACCCGATTTCAATTCCCCTGCCTCAGCGAGCAGCTAAACGTCAGAGGTGGATGGCATCTCAACTGATCCTAGGCTTTACCTCACCGCACCGACTGGTGCGGTGAGGTATGGTCAAACGACCTTCATAACCATCATGGTGTGGGGTGGCCTCCATCCAGCAGTGGATGGACACCAGCTCTGAATTATTGTTATTTACTTATTTTGAATTACTCTACCCAGCTCAGAGAGTCATCCTCCAGCGCCGTTCTCTGACACAGCATGATGCACTGCTTACTGCAAGAGTTCTGAATGAAAATCTATTCATCTTGTGACCTGATGCAAATCGCTAATTTGGAATATAATTGGCATACAAAGAAGAAAAGGAATTAATGAAACAGAAATTATATTTAATTTTGAGTCACATCATTTAATGCTTCTGCATCTTAAATAAATAACTTTCTTAGTGGATGTGTTTTTGTAATTATATTTCACATCATGATTACTAAAATACAACTTAATTCTTAATAAACATAATTTGCAGAAACATTATTTATGTTTGACGAATGCACAGGAAATTCTGGAATCAATTGACTCAACTGGAGAGCCAATTAATTATTAATTCTTCATGATTACTTGAATGCTCTCGAAGTCAAATGAATATTGTTAATCTTTGGCTTGTCATAATGAGGCACAGATTCTGCTCTCTCGAGTTGAGTTTTAACAAAGCATGCTTTTTTTTTCTCTCTTTTCTCCTGTTTACTCTCTTGCACAACAATCTCAGCGGCTGTGCACATCGAGCAGCTGACTGCAGCGCAGCTGTCTTGCTCGTCTAGCTGCGGCTAAAAGTCGCCTGTCGACGACAAGCAACCCCTCAATTCCTTTTTAATTCTCGGAGGTTTCACATGGCAGAGGAATAACGTGCAGGGACCAAGTTTGTCTCTGCTTTCCTGCCACGCAGACTGCTCACACACTCACTGCCCTCACCCCCTGATCCTTCTCTCAGGCTTGCCTGTGGGAATCCCTGATGAGAAAGAGCTTAGACATCTGCGGAAGCACGCTCTGCAGTAGGCTCGCACACCACAGGGGTTTGGCAGAGCTGTCGACAGATGAATTGTTATTTCATAATTTTAAACGTTGCAATGCATGACAACTGCATTCCAGAAATATGCATGGGAAAACAAACATGTTAGAGTCTAAGCAATCTCATCCAAATAGCGCAGTATTTAAACAAAATAAATCGTGGCAGGCACGTGGATACTGTGACGCTTTCAAACACACAGGATTTAATGAGCGATGACGTCACACGGAGAGTGATTTGTGACGTGGGTGACGTAAAGTCGCAGGCAGTGACGTCCTGGGGAGGCGAGCGCGTGACGTCACTGCCGTGGCCTATAAGGCTTGCACCATTGTCGCTGGGGGTTGTTTATTTAGTGGAGACTTTTTGGTAACCCGAAAATACATTTGCTTGGGTTTTACGTCGTGTACGTCCCTGATAGCAGCACGCAACTTCATACAGAAATTGTATCCATGTTGGGTAATCTTCATGAGAGTTATTGTGAGCCCATGCGTTTTTTTACGGTTAAACGGAGAGTCCGAATGCGTTGGCGCTTTTGATTTTAGTTGTAAAGCATTAAAAACAAACAGCTGTTTCATGGAGAGTTTGGTCACTTTCATAGGAATGTGGAATTTCCACCACCAATCTCTGGGCCACCATCTCACACTCACTTCAGCAGGAAGTCACTTTTATATAATTTTACTTGTTAAAAAATGCACAGTCTCACACGTACGAATTTGGAATAAAAGGTCCATCCGTGTCCATCATTCTGTGACAGGTGCACGCCCGGAGGGAGGAAGTCTGCAATGCCGGTCACCCTCACCGAGAGCGGCTACCAGATCCGAGTGTGACCCAGCGAGGCGGCGATGATGCGCAGCGGGAGCTTGGAGGCCGCCTCTCCCATCGTCGCAGAAGCCTTCCGGCTGCGAGCTCGCACCAAGGACGCTACTTGACGCGACGGATATCGAGCCCTGATCGATGCGCGTCTCCGTTTTCTTCTTTCAACGTCTTTACCTGGGATTCCCTTCACTGCGCGGAAGCTGTGTTTGCAGGAGCGAGGGGCGGCACAGGCTGGCTCGCGCGTGGACACCGGTTTCTTTGGGGACGTGTCGCCAGCGATAGCTCCGCGGGGAGGGGGATTTTAAGGCAGACAGCAGAAGTTAGATTGTGGTATTGTATGCTCGGCTAGGGATAATCAAAACTAGATGGGTTTTTTTTCTTCCCAATTTACTATAATGTGTTTTTAAATAGATAAAAGTGGTTTATTTGAATCCATCTCTCATGAGAATGAATTTGAACCAAAAAGGGACATGGTCCCACGTGCATGCTGTTTTGATACGAAGTGCGATTTGATACTTTAAAAGTACTGAGGTACGGAAGCAATCTAAACTTTGTAATCCCCATGTAGATGTAACAAGGCAACTTTTTACTTCCTTAGAATAGTTGTTTTCAATAGCTTATTCTTATCTGCATTAGATGTGGGAAAATTACGATTGCGTACAGTAGGGTCCATGATTCAGACAATCTTACGGGCACTGAAAGGAGTTATAGGAAATAAAACTTGTTGGCTCTTGGATGAGAAAATGTACTGAACTCTAAATGAGGATCATAGGCAGGCCTCCCCACTAAACAACGGCCTGTGTTGAAGGAAATGCTATGAGTGATGCCACCAGGCTTGTATACTCTGATAATCATTATTATAAAAGCAGCATTAAAATTACAGCCATTGGTAAACCACTGGTGGATTAACCCCCCGTCCCCTCCCTTGCACCACGTTGGTCACGGTTTCATGTCGTTATTTTGTTTTGACCATTCAAAGTGTGCGTCGCGATGGGGAGGAATGGCTTCTGACATCACTCGTGAATGATTGGCCGTGAATGGGAGCCGCGACACGGCGAGCTGGGTTTACAGCAGGCTGCCCACTGACAGCCGCCGCCGCTCCGGCCCGCGGCAGCGCTACAGATTCGCAGACTTTTCACTCCCCAGGCTTGCCCAGCCCGAGCACTGTGTGCCCCCTTGTCCTACCCGGCATCGTGAACTCCCTCTCCGTCGAGGAGGCGCTCACGTGGACTGAGATGGGAACTCAGGACACGTGCTTGGGCGGTGTGGGCAGCTGACCTCACAAACAGTGCCGCTGCCTGTTGTAGCAATTATTGTTTTTAGACTGCTGTATAAGGTTTGCAACTCCCATGTATTGAATATGAGGAACAGCTGACCACTTGTTTTTTTTCCATAGACTTAATTTATTTTATTCTTGGAGGAATGCCATACAACCACTTTTGCTTTGCAGGGATTAGGGCTGCGGCTGTAGAGCATTAGTAAGAATAGTTCAGGCCAGGATTTGGTATTTCGCTGTGCAAAATCTCTTGGCCAAATGGCAAACAGAAATCTCTCATTTAAGTAACATCGATACCTAGACATTGGTTCTCAGGGACACGCTTTGAATTAAATTGGACGGGTTTTTTTAATAGAGAGAAGAATGAAAGGGCCACTGGCTAAATGTAAAATCCATGCAAGCACATTGTCAAGGAGCTTGGGTGTGTGTGTGTGAGCGTACATTAATCATTACATTCTTAAATGGGCGCGATTCCATGGATAATGGAATCCAACTTATCACTGAAAACACATGGCAAAAAAAGTTACAAACACTAAAGAAACAAATAGCACAATATATTCTGTTGCGTTTAAGTTTACTTTTTAATATAGTTTTAAGTGTAGAATCCCACAAGAGTGTCAATTTGCTCATTAAAATCATGAAGACTGACACACTTTTTTATATATAGCAGGGGCGGTTTTACACAGTTATTACATTTCATTTAAAATAAATACAGCAGAGCTTGTGGATCTGTTTCAAATACTGCCTCATACCTAGACATAACCACCAGCCGTGCTTTAACATTATGGCCTTAATCAGACGGTTACATTATCAAGCATACTTATTAAAGATACATTTCTGTCCACTGCCGTGACTGAGAGATTGAGGTGGCAGTGTTGTTACCTGTGATACATCCATCATGAGGCGGGGCCGCACAGGGCAATGCTGCGCAAGGCTGCGTTTGCGAGCGAATGGTAACACGTCCGAGTCGGGGTGTCCCGCAGTGTTTGGAGGAGGCAGGCGTGTTATGAAGATAAAAGTGCAGCCCCGAAATTGCTTGTCCACTCCACTGCTAGCAGAAGAGCCTCCACTCGAGGGAGATCCAGAGAGCACCTCTATTGAACCTTGTCTATTTCCAGACGTCTTCGAACAAGTGGAAGTATCCACACTCCACCCCACCACATGTGACCAGCGGACCGACTCATTAGAATTAGCATCCAGCGATCACAACACGGGGTTATAAAAGGTAGCGGATACATTCACTTTTTGTTGGTGGGTGAGGGATGTTATGGAGAGACACCACCTGTTGTGGCTCTGTTACAAGCCGCAGCTGTCCCTGGAGTATGAAGGCACAAAGCATGAATGAAGGCGGGTAGTTCCCATATTTAGACAACCACTGGTATGTGTCCTGGAGGATCGGTTGCACTCGACCGTAGTAGTTTGCATCTCGTACTATATGTGAATATTTACACAGCAAACGGGGGAAGATGGCGTTCCATTTTGATGAAGGAATGATAAGGTTTAAGAGAACACACCGTAGACTTTCCTGGACCTCGTACAATGACCGAGTGTGCAGCTTTAACAATAAATCCCATTGTAAATGACATGTTTCAGACAACAGCGAAAGACAATATTTTATTTTTTTCAACACTCCATGGCGAGAACATTTGCCTTCTGTCACGGCTGTGATGAGCGGATTGATTTTTCGTTCTGGTAGAAGGGCAATTTATTTCAATACTTGGCAGAAAAAAGCAACACGATTATAATTATCAATATTTAATGCTGAATTGGCTATTTACCGCAGCACAAATCAATCCCCTTTCCTCAACACGCGAATAACGTCCAAGGAGTAGACACGACTCAACTTCCTCTTGTCCGAGGCGTCTGCTTGACGCAGTGTAGCTGCAGACTGTTTTTATTTCAGTTGCGTGGCTATTTCTCGAATTTCTATTCGGCATGCCAATAAGAAATCGTTTGGGTTACGTCACTTTTCCATCGTCGAAACTCATTGGCGTTGGATAATTTTCAAACGAGTGTCACGTTATCCAGGCTGCTCGTAAGCCCCTGGACCTTGGATTGAAGAGTGGTTTTGGCATATTAACAATGTTTCCTATTCACTCCCAATTTGATAAAGTCTCAAATTGTGTTTTATTACAAAGGTCCGTGAACACCTCGTCCTGGTGAATGAACCACCCCCTACCGCTCCCCCTCCCAATGGGTTTTCCGCAGAGACGCTGCAGGGATGACCGTCTTCAGAACGATTCCGTCTCAGTATTTCACGCAAACTGTTGCCAACTCGTGGTGATGTCCTGTGCAGTCACATTTTGTTTTCCACCTTTACACTTGATTGTAATTGCTTTTTAAACCAAGCTAAGCAATAACATCGTCACATTTGGGTGTCTTACACCTGCTACCCAAAACGTGCATAAGCTTTATAACAATAACCATATTTTGCACTATAAGTGATCGCTCATCCTCTCTTATTTGCAGCAGAGGCCAACAGTGATATTAGTAAACTTAGATTGTGTTTGTAGTGATGCTTATGTATAAATGTCGTTGCAGATTTAGACTTTGAATGACACTTAATTGGTTTTATTGTTTTCATAATTGTTATGGACAAACCGTAGTAAGGGTACGTCTCAGATTTGCAGTGGTATTTTGAAAATTGCACAGCAGCTAACATCTGCTCTTGACATTTCTCTTCTGAAATACTGTAAAATGTGTTCTTGTTTAGGGCAGGGTAACCTGCAGCCTGTTGACGCCAAGCATCTTTGCTGCACTAATCGGGTACTAGAGGGGGGGACGTTTTGGATTTGCCAACACCGTTTCTAGCATTTCTGAGCGCCCAGTTAATTTGTGCAGCCCTAGTGACTGGGAGCGTGTGGCCAAAAAAAAGTATTCGAAAATTATTGTTGGGCCCTCAGTAAGGAGAAGGCTCCCCTCCCCCCCCGTTTTAAGGTCGTGCGACGCATGAACAATGTTCGACATTTACAGGCTCAGCTGAGCAGATCTGTTGACGAGGAGACCGATGCTGAAATCAAAATATTTTAATACTGACACGTGGATCACTTCATGAGCATATAGCCTGGGATTTGTCCAAGTGTAGTATTGTTTTAGCTAGCGTTTGCTTAGCCATTAGCTTCATATCTTTACAAAGCAGCATGTTGTTGGCCATTTCATATTGTTTGCTATTTTTACATATTGTACACTTTTTTTCACGTACGTCTTCTACAGTTGGATGCTGTATATTTAATGTTTCAATAATACATTCAATAATAAAGCCACATCTTACGCGGGAATAAGTCCACATTATTAAACTCCACTGGGGTGAGAACACGTAACGTGCGTATGGCCTCGACAACTTGAGTACCAGTACAATTACAATACACATACAACAGCAGATTAGTATCTCGCAGGAAGCACACTTTATTGGAAGATTGAAACCTTTCGGCCTCTTGAGGAACTACTTTAGACGATGAGATATCGCGATGTGCAGGGTCCTTCTGAGTCTCGCCACTCAGTGGAGGCTTTCCTGGACGATCTAAATGGCACAAACTCATGTCGCTACAAAATGTTTTATTTTAAAGTTAACGATTTTGTCTTGCATTCAACGAAAGCACATACTAATTCGTTATAACATTACGTAAACGGCATCAATGTGATATTTATTAAATCCGACTGTGAATATCAATGTCTATTTTCAAGATGCCCCACCCACATGCTTCCCGCAAACTGTCATTGCCGTGTTTGGGTGACAGTGGTTTATTCAACTCCATAAATCATGAACGGTTTGGACATTTGTAGCCAAAACATGCGAGGAAATCTTTGCTTGAATAACTTGGTTTTGGAAGTGCAAGCCGACGGCTTACAATTCAGAATGGTTGTAACAACAAACTTGAGATGCACCGTACACCAAGGGTGGATCGCTCTTGTCTTATGGAACTTTTTGCGGTGTTACACGGTCTTGCTTTAGCAATGTTGGATAATAGTGTTAAAGCTATTTTAGTCCAAGGGTGCTAAAATAAGGACATGAGATTATTACTCGGGATGACCTATACCATCGTGTAACTTAGAACAAAGCGTCTAGTCGAAATAAACATTGTGTATTGTTCTGTTACAATTACATTTTACAAAACCAGCTCCCTGCCATCACGTGGCCTGTGACTACGCATTATCCTGATTTTAGTACTCGATACTTATTTATCAATTTCTGCCCTTATTTTACAGATTCTTCACGTGACGTTGCCCGATGCCTGCCGTCCCTTTTTAAGCGGCGCAGTTTTAATTCATGGCAATTCAGCCGCGTGATATCGTCACATTGGTGGCCAAGTTGTACAGGGAAATATTCCACATCTTAAGACAAAAATAGAATTTGTAAAAGTGGGGCACCTGACTAACCTGTCAAGTTCAGGACAGGCGTCATTTACGTGAAGATTAACCCATAAGGACAAGATAATTCATTTTAATTTAACCCCTGTTCAAAATGGCAGACTGGAGTGAATTTGGATTAATAAAACTACGAATGGTTATTTGGTTTCCATTTTTGTAATAAAAGATATGTAATATACATTTGAAAATTATTTACAAGTTCATGTGATCTCTTTGGGGAGACTGAAGAAGGGAATTCATGGATTTCAGATGACAAAAGTTAATTGTGTGCTGGTTTGTATCATGCATGACTTGTCAAATCTACAACTTTTACGTGTGAATCAATAAACGATGAAAATAATACGATATACCACTGTGTTTTTCTCCCATATAGCCATCTATCTTCAACGTATGTATGACTCAAAGGATAGATAGCTACTTGATATCCACGTGCATTACATGAAGCTCAAGGCAGTTTGAGAGCGAAGCGTTGCCGTGTTATTGTTGAATTCTGTCACGACAAGTCTCAACTGGCGAGCAGCTTTATTGGGTTAGAATTACAATTAATGCGTGGGCGCGTATAAACAACATCTTTGTCAATGTGAAAATCTTAATTGGGTGGCATAAAACTATGACGTGGCCGAACCCATTGTGCTACAACTCTGCATTTTAAGTTAAATCGTTAAGGCATCCATGGCTCTTATTTGGAACTAGTTACTTTTGCAATGCATAATTACATTTCTTTAGATGCGCTTTACATGGAAATATACATGGAAATAATACAGTATTAGATTTGGGATGAGTTGGGAGAAATACAACAGTCCGTTAAGCACGTCAATGAAGAATAACGTATGCTTAACTTCACCTTTTTATTTAAACATAGCAACAAGTTTAATAAAAAAATGAGGCACAAATCAACATGCACAAGTAATTTGAAAGTCTCAACTTGTTAAAGAATGAACGGTAATTGTGCAATACATTAGACGATAGTTTGTCCATTATATCTGGTCACTGGCATCCAAGTATTATAAAGATAAAATTGTGAAACCTGTTAAAGCTCCTAAAACATTCAATGTAAACTTTAACGGTCAAGATTGTTCCCTCAATCTATACAGCTCTCACAACAATTAATTGGTGCATGTTGTAACTTGTAACACACTGGAGCCAGAACCGCGTTCATTCGTGTGGGTTTTAACCAACGATGGAATATGAGGGTGGAGATGTCCTCACAAGTTAAAAGTCGACGTGAACGGACAGACGTGGCATATCCAGATCACCAAGAGGGCTTTAAAGACTGCAGGCATCAGAGAGCACAGGCTGACAGCTTTTTTTTCCCTCTGATCTCCCTCTGTGCCTTTAAACCTCATTTCAAACCCACGTAGCATATACCTTGGGTGACTTTAGGCACGTGATATGCTTATTTTCAATAACTTGACTAAAACATTTTTTAAAAATCACATTTATCTCACAAACCAAAGAATGAATTCAATGATGTATGGCATGCTGCACTGTACAGAATATTAGTTTGCAACTGTTTTACCCCACGTCACAATGATAATTTAGCGTTTTAAGAAAGTAAACTACGTCCCCTATACACTTATGAAAATCACTGATAGAGCTACTTTCAAGTTAACTGCTTGTACAGATTTTTAATAATTATCCAGTGACGATTAAATGCAATAATATCCAGAGACTAATACAGATGTATCATTAACTTCTGCACTCGGGTTTTGAACTTTAAAATTGCCCCATACAAACAATACATCATTCCTAACAAAGACAAAATTAAAACACCGTAGCACAAGTTCACATTGAACTAGTGTAAAAAAACACCATTCTAAACCAAATTAAATAGGTCCTAAACTGCCCCTTAAAGGCTAAATCGCATCTAACCGTTGCTATTGTTCTTTAATGATACTGCACCTTGGTGTGCACAAACGGATTCACAATGTTGTCTTCACACGCCAAAATGCTTTTCACGTCAAGTCTGTGTTGACAAGATGCCACAATTACGGTGGAGTGGCCAGACATTATCAACGACCCTTTAAGAAACTCCACCCAGTGCCTTATTACACTTCGTGTTCCTTTTTTGTAGGGAGAGTAGAAATGCTGAAATTAGCGACACTAAATGGCTAATTGCAGTATAAACAACAAAACTCAACAAATTCGTGTCATCCGTGCACCACTGCCAAACAACACGCGGTATGAGGTTGTGAGATTATTTATAAAATTTGAAAATTCACCAATGTGCTTTGTCAGTTTGCCAAGGTATAAGGACGACATTTTATTTCCATGACCTGTTAAGAGATTACAAAGTAAAAATGCAATTTGGGATTTGAAATTGACATGGCAATGTGATTTTACTTTGTTCCATACATTGTTTGAACGCACACTTCTTAAAGAATGTAAAGACAAAAATAACTTTCAAAAAAACTAAGCTATTGCTCATCTTATATAAACATATCACCAATTTGTCAGTCAGTTGCATTGCTAACAGACATATATACATAAACAACCACAACGTCCTTCTCCTCCATATGACCCACATATGTTACACACTTGGCATAGTCAACTTTAAAAAAAAAAATACTCAATGGGTTTTCTGCCATGACCCTGACTTACACGTGCTGGTTCTACTTGGAGCGCATCTACATTTAGATACATTCCACTTTTAAAATTGTTTACTGCACTTACTACTGTCAAAAACACATTCTTGTTCATTTGAAAAGAAAACCTTTGGAGCCAAATTGCTGGTGTTTTGTAAATATGGCCACATAACAAAACCAGGACCCCGAATAACCATGGTAACTCAATATATTTTCTTTAGGTTTTTCGGTAAAGTCACGTAGAACAAAAAAAACATTTACCGAAAAACCCAAAGAATATGAATTAATGCAGTCACGAAAGCTTTAAGTCAAGATTTAACTCAATACATTGTTATACGAGTCTCCTTAATTGGCTACAAAAGATATTGCATGGTGATTAGCTGCCAAATTGCGTGGCTTCTATCCTAATATTTGTACAGACATTTTCACTCTATTTTAAGATGATTTCCTTGCTAGACGTTAAAGATTACAGGCACAAATAGCAGTGAATAATGCCAAGATGTGTGAACAATGTTACACACTCCTGTTATGTTCCAAGGAGACCCCCTCACCCCCCAACTCAAGCAAATGAACAAATGAATTTTGGATAAATATCAAACACAGATAACTGCTTGGAATTAAAGCAGAACAGAAACGCTACTTCCATTAGCACATCTCACACCGAGCCTCCTAAACCATTTTCCACAGACGAACCCTGCAGTTTGAAACTCCAGCAATGCATCCAGTAAGTCTCTTGGAATCGAATTTGTTGATCAATACAAGTCAAGAGGATTATTAGAGTGGAATAATGTCCCAATTAGCACTCGAAGTGAGTGTAATTGCCCCACACTGTAATAACTCAGAACTAAAACAATAATTGCAATGCCAAGACATTACAATAGAACTGGATTTTTCTGCCTTGTTACAGCTCCATGAGCTATTCCATTTGTAAACCAGACATGCACGATTAATCCAATAAGAAGCACAGACACCCCCTTTAATAACAATAACATTTTAAGTGGAATACAATTCCTCATTTCGTGTTCATCCGATAGCAAATCTTTAGAGGCATGAGCTCAACGATGCTTCTGCAGAAATCCTGTATTGTTCAGTCACATAGGACAATAAGTCCAGCCAGCTACCCATACCCATGTGTTCCCAAAGGTTGCTTTTTAATATCTGTGTAATAATGAACTACCTTGTGATAGGCTTTGGTCGGCACAGAAGACATGGGAGCGCTTGTAAAGCCAGTAGTACGTGACAGCGATTCACGTCAACTCTTCCCATGCCCTCCCACACAAACTCTGGTGCATGGGAGGGTGGGAAATAGTGATTGCTAAGCCAAAGTCTATTTGTAGTTTCATAGATAATTGGCCCATGAATGTTATCGAAATTAAACATGTTTGCCTATAGTTGAGTTTGCTTTGTGTTTCGTTTGTTATTCTTCCCCTGCACATTCGATTAGCACGGTTGACTATGTACGGTGTGAAAGAAGTTCAACACACATACATATGAGTCACCGGTTTGAATCCAACCGAAGCCCCCAAAAATGTGCTGTGTAGTACATTATAAACAAGCTTTCCATTTACAATTCTGCAAAGCTGTACATCACGTAAATTGTTTACAAGGTCGGGCTGGTTTTGTGATATGGAGCGTGCTGCTAACTTCTAATACACAGAACTCTTTTTTTAATTTGTAAGGAACTATATTCTCCTGTACTGTAGGAGGTAGAATTCCCATGGGACAAAGCCGTTAAGTTATCGTCCAATAGATTTTCAGTCATGGTTCAATTTTCTTATGTAGAGGACAAACAGTAATTTCAAAGGAGTGCAGGAGGTACACTCACTCCACTGACTTTAAGCCCTCTTGTTGTCTACTCTGACCTTTCAATGAAATGCTTTAAGTCTGTGTTATGCAGGGTGTATAAACTGTGGCTTTGTAGTCACTGTGTTTTATGAACAGCTAAGCACTTGTGGCAATACTGCACACTACTCACTGGGGGAGACGTGAACAGTACGGTGAACAACTTAAAATGCAACCACAGACAACGAAAAGTAAAGGGAAAGTATTTCTTAAGTATGAAGAAATGGAAGACATAACTTAAACATTGATGAGTAGGATTCTTGTTGTCTTTTTTTAGGAAATTATCCTTTTCATTATGTTTAAGTGCCATTTCATATTTGAAACAAATCATGTTGCTAGGTATGGCCGTTTTTGTTGACAATGATGTGCATTTAAAACATTCCATGGCTTTTGCTTTCCACCTCTAAGTCTTCCAGAAAACAAAACAAAAAGATATGTTCATGCAGCCAGTGAGCGACCGGCAACGTTTGGTAGAGGCTTCACATAGGTTTGAATTTGGCGGTGGGGGGAGGGGCACTGATTAAGCTCATAATTTGACCATTGCAGAGACACTGTGAGCAAAACTTGAATGGCAAACAGTGAGGTAGAACACTCCACTGTGAATGTTGCCTGCTGCCTACTAATACCTTTTTCCCACTGGACAACCGCACAATGGCCACACAAAGCCAGCCCAGCGTGACTCAGGAGGCACCGATTTCTGTTTCCACTCTTGAAGCAAAGCCGTGCAGCTGACATCACACACAAGGAGCGAGTGGAGATGCATGTAGAAGATGAGGCAACGGTCTGTCTTCAGTTATATGCAAAAAAATGCATCGATAGATCTTCCGCTGGCCCTGCTTGGCCCCCAAGTCAGATGTCTTGCGATACTTAGCGTAGCATTGTTTGGTTCTTGCTTGCTCAGGTCATCAAAAAGCCAGTGGAAAACCACCCATACCGTGAGGGCCCCGCGCTGGCTCGGCTCGGATATGCCAGTGGAAATGGAGTAAGAGGAGTGTTAGACGTCGACCAGAGTTAAAAACGACGTCCAGATGAGCCTCATACATCGTAGTGGGCATGCCCATTCCTGCCCAAGAGATTTCTCCAGCAATCAATATTGATAGCAGCTGGTGGGCAGTGAGGGGGGTTAGAACTCGAGGGCAAATTTGGCGAGAAGGGGCAGGTGGTCGGAAGGCGCCGCCTCATTGGGGAGCCCCTTGTGCTGCCAGATCTTCGGCAACGTGAGCAGGGTGAGGCGCGAAAGAGGCCTCAGCCGCCAGCCAAAGCCCGAACACCGGCTGCCTGCCTCCCTCCAGCGCTGGCCTGCACGCGTCACGTTGCGCACGCCACAACACGCACTGCTTAACCATCAAACAGACAGTGGTCACCGCATCACTGCGCGCTTAAAGAGGCGCTTCTTCGGCCGTCTGGAACGCCCCTTCCTTCCGATATTAGGAAGCCACTGGAGCTATGCACAATTAAATCGAGCTTAAAAACGAATTTCTTAAGAACCGCTTTTGGTTGTGTTTAGTTTGTCGAAGCTGTACAGCAGTAAATGCATTTCTCCTTCTAGCTTAACATTTCACTTCCACAGAACTTCACATGGTATGAGCAGTATTCTACATCTCATAGGAGTGACATTAAACAAAATTATTAAAATTAAAGTGGAGCACTGGTAGAACAAATAACAGAATATCAGAAAAAGATAAAAGGTTAAGGTGCAGCGCTGAAATGTCTTGCTCATGTCACTGCTGGTGTAAAGGATTCCGCGAGAGGATATTTTGGGCCTATTCTTCCACGCTTCTTGGAAGAGGTGGGAGTACCCACACTTTACGCCAACTAGACGTGGACCTGCCAATCGACTGCTGCGCACACACTTATACTGCTGTGCCAGGAGACGCAATTGAACCGGTGACCTCTGGACTGCAATTCTAATGTACTAACCATCACACCATGGCAGCATTCAAAAATCTTGTAAGCACAACGTTTTAAAATAGAATTATGAAAATGTGCATGGAGGATTTGTGGAATAAATAGTATACCACAAGAGCTAAAGCTGTAATATCACACTGCCACATGGACCCCTATTCATATGAACAACTGTTAGTCTGTCAAAAGCAGTGTATCTCATACAAAGGTATGAGAAAATGTATATGGGTTAAGACACACCCAGGCCCTGGATGGGCATCTTGAAACAGAGGGACAATGATGCTCAAACAGAAACTGTGTCCCAGGATTAACAAGAGCACCATAGCAAGGCTTTTGGCTTGCAAAAGGGTAAGACTGAGGCCAATGTAACGACTTACCGTCTAAACAGAACTGGTTATATTAATAATATTAATATTTAATTACATAAAGCACCATTCTACCAGGTGCTCAAAGTGCTGTACATAACAACAAATAAATCATTGGCCAAGGGCAGGGAAGACTGAGTGTAGGAGGTAATTTAGAGAACCAAAAGCAAGAGAAAGCAAATGTGTCTTGAGGCGGGGTTTAAACACCGCCGTTGTCTTTGAATAGCGAACAACAACTGGGCCAGGCGCTCCGCAGATGGAGAGCAGCACAACATTGGGCAGTGCACTCCACAGGTGGGGAGCAGCACAACAGAAGGAAGGGCCACTCAGTGTGTGGAGGAGCCACATCCTGGGAACTCAGAGGGGGCAGCAGCCATCGAAAAACTAAGACTTCGAGATGTACGCATGTTGAACTTCTTTCGCACCGTACGAAGCCAAAGGTGCTAACCGGGAGGGATGGCACGTATAGGGTCGGCAAATCTGCGAGATATTAAAATATCAATACATTGGTGTCTTCATTACTGTGCCTGACGAAACCTCAGCATCCAGTGAAGAGCACTTGCCTTTGAAGGGTGATGGACTCGGACATGTGTAAAAAATGTAATCCACTGTGACTCCTGTTGTGGATGTGCAGATGGTCGCCTCCATTAGGTTTTCCTCTGGGACGAAGTGTGAGTATACAGAGTTGAAGCTCATCCTGTGCTGGATCGCCTTAGGGAAAGGGCTTGGGGTTGGCAAGGGAGGGAGAAGTGAAATTCGGTATGCAAAGGAAAACAGCAATGAATACAATGGCCGTTTATTGTACACCCACACGTTAATATAAAGTAATATCACGTTATGCAATTACGATTGTAATGGTATATACGTTAAAAAGCAAACAGGCAACACATTTTTTGTTACTGAAGTTGTTAGGAAATAGAATATTGTTATTAAAGATGTTAGATACATTTTGTAGCCTTATGCACCTACATTAAATTTAAATTTTATAAAATACATATTTTCACCATTACTTCTAATTGCACATAGCTTAGAAATCATCTTTAATATTTTATTAATAATTTAAACGATTCTCGAATAAAATAATAGAAGTTATAAATATGACTTTCAAAATGTTGTATAACCACACCATAGCATAATGAACGTGCATAGTACAGTATTGCCTTTTTTCAATGATCCACCCCCTTTCACAGTTGATAATTTGAAACGCGTCAAATGTCAAAAACGTTACCGTTCTGTTGAGCATATTCAATGTCAAATCTACAATAAAGTTTCATTTCATGGGAAATCACACTGGCAGTCAGGGACATATGGTACAAATCCCGTAAGTTTCATTCAGCTGACTGACAAAGCTGTCAGAATGACTCAAAGCTAAACAATACCAGGGCTCAGTGGCACCCCTCGAGAATAATCTGAATAAATGGGAGTGTCATCTGTTGCTATGTCTTATAGCCTAGGGAGTTTGATGGGCCCCTGTAGGGTTCAAGTTACGCAGCCAAGGCTGGCTTGACGACCCCACCACCATCTGTGCTCATGACATCAAGGAACACCTTCTCCCATTACGCTGGGATAGTGAATAATGCATGCACGCTGCAGTGCTGCCCACATTTAATAGCATTTATCATGAGCACACGTTCCTCAGACGTAATCAAAGATGCAACATTCCCCTAAATGAAAGCGAATTGGTAATAAAAACAATGTGATGTGGCAATTTATATGCATGGGATTGCACATTCTATTTGTGGGGATGTCATTGCACCAATGTTGTGATGGGCTGCAGTGTGACGTCAGTCGGCTTTAACAGCTGTTCGGAATTGGTCATGCTGTGAAAATTTCCGCGCAAGGTATGTGAATGAAAGCTAGGCACTCCCTCTATCGGACAAACAGTACCACTGCTCATTCCAACAACAACAACACAATCGACTCAATTAACCCCAAGTCAACGCAGTGAGAAGGAAAAATCCCCAAGAACGTAACACGATGGTATGGTAGTTCAAGTTATCTCCTTCAATCACCTTGTATTCTGGATTCAATCGCACAGTAAAAGATAGATAGCGTCATTCTCACAAGAGTAATTCGCCGTGTAATAAGTGCCAGCGTACCTGGGATTAGTATGAGAACGTGATCCGCCTTCGGATGTGGGACAATGTCCACATGGGGCGTTCCCTGAAGGTGCTGCCGTTAGTTGGTTGCTGGCTACAGCTGGAGCTGTAGCAATGTACCGTGAAAGCAAAAACACATGTTCCGTCAGAAGGTTTCTTGGGGTTAGATCACGTAAATATAAATGTGTCGTTGACCCACCACCCGACATAGCCAATTGAACAAAACGTGACAATTGGCGATAAGTTCAGCACATCGGTGTGATGACGAGTAAACCCATAACATTTACAACTGAGTACGAGGTTTCGCTGGTGATCATAACCAGCTTCATATAGCGAATTTCCAGAATTGTGAAGTTATTTTCTTTAACATTTACTTCAGGAAAATAACTATAACCAATCAGTGATTATCATGAAATTTTCGCTTATAAGAGCTCTCTAAACGATACTTAAATATCTTGATTTTGATCAATAATGAAGTGAAATAATATTCAAGCACAATACAGCATGCCACACAAGTACAGTGAGGGAAAAAAAGTATTTGATCCCCTGCTGATTTTGTACGTTTGCCCACTGACAAAGAAATGATCAGTCTATAATTTTAATGGTAGGTTTATTTGACATGATTTTTTCTGGATTTTGTTGTTGTTATTCTGTCTCTCACTGTTCAAATAAACCTACCATTAAAATTATAGACTGATCATTTCTTTGTCAGTGGGCGAACGTACAAATCAGCAGAAGATCAAATACTTTTTTCCCTCACTGTAGCCTATTGATCAGTCAAACATTATTCACTCCAAAATTGTACCTGGGGGTAGGCCGTTGATTTACATGTTCACCACTTGCTCTGACAATATGTGCAGTTGGTAATCCCCAATTAAAACGAGAATTGCTCAGTATGTAACAATTTACCCCTACAGAAATGTTATGAATTGTCAAAATACTGTGGTCGTAACTTGATTCAACAATACATTAGTTTGCATCTAGCTTAAATGTAACATTGACATTCATTTCCATAGTAAAGGTTTTTTTGTGGGTTAGATCGCATAAATATAAATGTGTCGTAAAACCCGCCACTAGTCGACAGAGCCAATTAGTAAGGTTTGTCACGTAAACATTAGCATTAATTTCCATAACATTTAAACTCGGCGTTACCAAAAACATGTATCCTAATGCACATGTCGTGAGGGTAAGAATCCGTTTTAATCAATTGATTGGTGCATCGTTAGAAGCCAAACGCTACCTCCAGGCTTGTAGTGGGTGAGTGTGAGGAGTGGGGTTGTTTTCTGTACCTGCTGTCCGCTCTTCCAGCGCAGTGGTGGATGTGGTACCCAAGCTGGCCGGCGGTGACGCTCGTTGTGCCGACTCTGGCGGCTGGACCGGCTTGGCTTGTTGGGCTGCTTGAGGTTTGCTCACCTCCATGTACTGGCAGAACGGAGACACGCCGAGTGTTTGAGGCCAAAGCGGGGCTTGCAGCAGACGATGATTTGTCTGGTACACCTCCTGCTGCCCTGACACCTGCGCACGCACACACACACACACCATCGCTCCACTTAACACAGCCGTTGTGTTTGCTCTATAATTCTGTGCAGCCTTCGCGATAGGGGGTGAAGCAGTCGGGCAGTGGTTTCGTCTGCACTGTGAACCCGGCGATCCAAATTCGATAACCAGCCATGGATGACATTATTGGAGATATGAGCCGGTCTTGGGTGCCCTCTCTCGACTGCCCCACAATGAGCAGCATCCTAAGTATGGTTTCACAACTCCGACGGGAGCCCTTCATTGGGCTGTACATTATTATTCAAGACATACACAACTTGAGTTATTTAGCTAGAGTTATTTAAATGGTAATTATGCAGTCAATAATAACTGGATCATCTGAATTCCTTTCTTTCATCGCTGCTGTCCAGTAGTGGCCTTGAAACGTTTTGAATTCTGCTTCTTCGCCCTCTCTCGGCATCCACTCTGTAGTTGATTTTGTCTCTCATCTCTTGTCGGTTGTTCTAATTTCTTCTATCATAATCATATCAGTGACATGTTTTCTGTATTTATTCATTCCCGAAGCTACCTCTTCGACTTACTCCTAACGTACTACTTGACATAGATCTTTGGGAGTATGCTGATGCTCCGGAGCTCTGGGTTTGACTCAACAATGTTCCCCGGTGTGCCTCAGCTCTTCCCAAACAGCACTTGTGGATGCTCAGCTGCAAATGAAACTATGCATATAACAAGAGGTAGAATGAGACCAAACCAACCTGGCCTGGCTGCCCGTTCTGTCCAACATCGCCCGTTCTGACACCAGGCGACAATTCGCCTTGCAGAATCCTTGATGTGCAAGACAAGCCACACATTTAAAAGTGTGTTCAAGCCACCGAGCCAGTTTAAGCTTCAGGCCCTCTGCTTGGACAATCTCTCTAAAGAACCTCAATGTCACTTTCAGGCAGCATACCGAGTCGCAAGAACAAGCTCAGGCGTAGCCACTGCGCACTTCGCGACAGATCCAGCAGTCCAACCAACTGGTTTTGACCTTTCACGCCATCTGTCGGTAAAGCTCAATAATCGCTTCAGATGTGGACCGATTAGAGGTGCTGCAAATGACTACATGTGGGGTCTTGTCACTCCCTCCTTTGCTGCTGTGGCCAATTATATATAGGCTGCACACACTGGCAAGGACTGCCCGGTACTCTCATTGACTTGTAAAATAAATTCCCTTTCTCTTTGCAAGTTAATGGTTGAGAAACTTAGACGAACATACATGATTCTAAACAAAACATTTATTTTTATTTTACCAGGTAAGGCCTCCTGAGCTATATAGCTATTTTTCCGAAGCAACCTGGCCACAAATGATAGCCCAATGAAGTGGCTTATCACGTGGCAATTTATAGCAGCCAAATACTCGAAATGCATATTTCTAAATGTGGAGGGAAAAACCAGAGGACCGAAATAAAAATCCATGCAACCACAGGGAGACATGCAAACTCAAAAATATATAGGCGTCAGGGTCGAGATGAAACCCACGAGCGTCTGTATACGAGGCGAGGTAGTTAACATCTCACTGTTATGTAAATGCAAAAACATGAAAAAAATAAAACACTACAAATAGAGAATGAGTTCCGCTCTTTACAAAGCGCTCCTCACTTTAAAAGTGTACACAACACATGGCTGGAATACAAGACTCGTGCAGTTTCAAGACTGCAGAGATAGAAAAATTACGATATAACAAAACGGTTGGGAGTGAAAACGACCCTGTTTAACAAAGTGTATAAGCACTCATTAATTTGCTGAAATCCTCTTAATACATCGAGATTGCAGAGCTTGTGGCAATTGTTGACACCAACTCTCCACGTGGCTGCCTTGCAGCTTGTCTGTGGTTCCCCGGCGATAGTGAGAAGTAATTAGTATGAACGACACAGATAAAACTAAACATTATTCCAATAAAGTGAAGCAAAGAAGGCTCCAGTAGCTTGCACACATTACAAGAATAAGCCCGGACAAGATCCCGCAATTGGCGATGCAACAGAAAAGTGAAAGGAAACTGGAGTAGGAGAAGACAGAAAACCAGGCGGATAGATGAAGACAACGGATGGAGATTAATTGGAAATTAATTTGGCCTCTTCATCACTAACGAGCAGAGGGCGACTATGACGATGATGTTAACATGAGACACAAAAGTGCAGCAGATGCAGGGCCTCGCCTTCCAGGCAGGTAGGCCGTGGTAGTGGAGGTATCCGTGGCGTAGGAAGTGGTACAGCGGTGAGCCGGGCACGCTGTTGAAGTCCCCGCACAGCAGCACCGGCAAACGGCCGCCGTCCGACACTTTGTCAATCTCGGCGAGCAGCAGGGCCAGTTGGGCAAGCTGCAGACCGTTACACAAGACGTGCAGGAAGAAGGAAACAAACAAAAAGGCCATTACAAACTAAAAATACTGGAGCACACATGAAAATAAATAAACAGATTTGGCTTCCTGATTATTTTGATTATGAATTATTTCCTTCTTGCTGGACATGGAGGCATCTGCTTCGAAGATGCAGGACAGACATCACGCTGAGAACTACTGAAGGCCATCCTTGACAGACGGCCAACAATGATAGCATTCTTTCTTGAACACGATAAGCAGTAATATTAACTTAATGTGTTTATATATAAAGAAAGCCTGAATGTTATCAAATGAAAATAATTACGTGACAGTCATGAACACATTTGTTTACGAAACTGAATAACTACCAATGTAAAGGTACATTTTCCTCCACTCAACAACACATTTGTTTACGAAACTCAATAACTACCAATGTAAAGGTACATTCTCCTCCACTCAACTCAAGTGGAGGAGATGACTCGTGGTGCAGCAGTCTTATGCATCGAGCTATAAATGTGGCCACTCCAGTCTGATTCCAGGCCACGGGTAACATGAGTGGCGACTGATAACCTAACCGCTCCTTGGCTCCACTTCACCAATCCACGTGGCTAGGGGTTGATTTAGTCCACCATCTCTCTGGGGTCAATAGAATGAGTAAAATTTTGTGGGTAAGTCCACAGTGGTTGTCCAATGGCAGGACTTGTCCCTGCCAACGGGATGTTGACTTTCCACCACTGGCTCAGGGCTGTGATAGACAAACACTGCCTCAATGTTCATCATTGTGTTTAGTTTGCTGTCTGTATTTAGTTTGTTGTCTGTATTTAATTTGTTGTCTGTATTTAATTGTTGTCCTTCCCCCCCCCCCCACCTCCGATTAGCACGGTTGGCTACGTATGGCGCGAAAGAAGTTCAACATACACAAGTACATACATTTGAACAGGAAATCACTTTGACTCTTGAGAAATCAGTGGCGTATTTATAAATGGATTACCCTGTAATAATAGCAATGTTTACAACCTTAACATTAAGACAGACAAATCGTTAGTTATTCAACAATGAAAATAACAACGTTAAGACACCAAAAACTATATAAATGTACCTTGATGTCCCCCCTTTTGGGATTGAAGAGGAGATGTGTGTTGGCAATGCAGACACTCGGGGGAAATTGTGCATAGGGTGCTGAACTTGTACCCTAGTCAACAAAAACAATAACATTCGTGAAATTATCATTAACAACACAATAGTGATACGACTGGAATCCATTACATTTCCTCGAGTCTAGAAAAGGACTGTCAATATTGTAACTTTACTTTTCTGCACATCCTCATAGAATAGGAGAACAGTTAATTTTATTATGAAATGTTGACACAAGGGACATTTGCAGACAATGAAGTTCTACAGCAGAGCTACCGTGGCAACAGCAGTGTTCACAAAGGTTTTGTTCTATTGAAAATATATGTAGCTGAGCAGTATAAGAGACACCAAACACACGCAGATTAGTTAATTAGATGGAACGTGTCATCGTTATCATCAACAATTAATATTAATACAGCACATCTCTCATCTCCAGCACATCTCAAGAAACCACGTGGCAGGGCACCCCCCGGCAGCAGCTGTCTCTGTGAGGCACAAGGTGAACGCAGCGCTGGTCAACTAGCGGGCGGTAGTCTGCCAGTAGGGGGCAATGTTACAATGTAGCTTCCCAATTAAGCGATTTTAAACTAATCTTCAAACTGCGATGCTGGCTCACGCATAGCGTCACGGGATCTTTAACGGCCGCTGTGAAGCAGACGGCAAGTATTTTATGGTTCATACACCCGCGGTGTGAACAAGGGCGTTCTCTGGGCTCGAACCGCATCTGCAGGGTATGACGTTAACGGGTGTACGACCTCTTGGGGCAGTGGCTGGAGCACGGCGATGGTGCCCACGTTGTCTCGGTCCATTAATGACACCCCGGGCCGGTAGTACTCCACCGCGTGCCACGAGCGCAGGGAGAAGCGCGACCTCTTGAAGCAGATGGCGCAGCCATCGTTCTTATCGCCAGTGCGCATCTTGTAGTGGCAGCTGTAGCCTGTGTGGCAATGCATTGAAAATTTAAAAAAAAAAAAAAAAAAAAAATCGGCCAATAATATTGTGAACTTTGAACGAAGAAGCTTGCACAGCGTTGGTCAAGCTCTCTATCACGCACCCCCACACGTTTCCCTTTGCGGCTTTGACTTAATGAGTTGGTAGAATAATGTGAATGGTGGCAACTCTTGTAATATTTCTGTGCAATGCTGCATTCCAAAAAAAATGCATTTCAAAATATTGTATTAATTTGAATACTACTCAAAATCATGCATTCTCACTACAAATTACATTATAATAGCTTTTTCAGTGGCAAGACAAAGTTGGTACATTGGACTCTTGCAGTCAAGTGCAATTAATCCTGAAATTCATTATGCTACAGTAGAAGTAATTACACCAAGGGTGGTCCATGTATCTTAATTTTAAATCAAGTCACATCGCTACTATTGTTCTTCTCAAAAGATAAGGAAAGAAGCTTGAAGAAACACCATACCATGTTCCCTTGAATACCAGGCCTGGCTCCAGTTCCTATTGGATGGGAGGACGGGCGAGCTCTTGTGTGGGGGCCATCAATAGTGATATACTGTATTCGCGCCGCGATAGTGAGATGTTAACTACCTCGCCTGGTATGCAGGAAGTCGTGGGTTAGATCGCAACCCTGAAGTCTATATATTTGCAGTTTGCATGTTCTCCCCGTGGTCGGGTGGATTTTTCTCCAGGTCCTCCGGTTTTTCCCTCCACATTTAGAACCAACATCACGCGTTTACAGTGTTTTGCTGCTATAAATCATTCGTGGCCAGGTTGCTTCAGAAAAAGAGCTTCTTAGCTCAGTGGGCCTTACCTGGTTAAATAAATAAAAATTATAGGTTGATACCACGAAGGATAGTGAACTTGGGAGGGCCAAATGGACATTTGATGGGGTGGGGCCAACCCTAGCATCTCCCTTGCACCGGCCCTGCTCCATACCCAGTTTGATGAGATGAGGCTTCAACTGATCGATGTAATGGTCCTTTTGCACCTCCTGCAGACACAGTACCTGCAATAAACGAGTTGCATGTTACAATACACCTCACCAAACACACGACTGGAGGCTGTAAAAGTAGATTTGATATTTTTACATCAAGTGTTTTTTCATTCACTGATTAAACTAGCAATCGCAAGGTTAAACTGATGTTCATGTATTTTGCAATACCTTTCTTTTGTTATAAAAATTGTGAAATTAATACCAAAGTTGTAATTTCTAATGACAATCAATACAGTTACATCTGCAAAAATATGTTTAATTTAATATTTTAATCACTAACATATCCATGCACAATATTCAACGTAGAATTTTGTCCAGTTAAATGTAAATAACATAGCCTACATTGATGTATAACGTGCTAAGCATTGATACCAGATTTATAGGATGATAATTCATGAATGATGCTGCTAATAACCTGGAACATTATGGCATCCATTCATTCAACAACAATGTGACATCCTTCATTCAACAACAATGTGACATCCTTCATTCAACGACATTGTGACATCCTTCATTCAACAACAATGTGACATCCTTCATTCAACAACAATGTGACATCCTTCATTCAACAACAATGTGACATCCTTCATTCAACAACATTGTGACATCCTTCATTCAACAACAATGTGACATCCTTCATTCAACAACAATGTGACATCATTCATTCAACAACAATGTGACATCCTTCCTTCAACAACAATGTGACATCCTTCATTCAACAACAATGTGACATCCTTCATTCAACAACAATGTGACATCATTCATTCAACAACAATGAGACATCCTTCATTCAACAACAATGTGACATCCTTCATTCAACAACAATGTGACATCCTTCATTCAACAACAATGTGACATCCTTCATTCAACAACAACGTGGCATCGTTCATTCAACAACAATGTGACATCCTTCATTCAACAACAATGAGACATCCTTCATTCAACAACAATGTGACATCCTTCATTCAACAACAATGTGGCATCCTTCATTCAACAACAATGTGGCATCCTTCATTCAACAACAATGAGACATCCTTCATTCAACAACAATGATACATCCTTCATTCAACAACAATGTGACATCCTTCATTCAACAACAATGAGACATCCTTCATTCAACAACAATGTGACATCCTCCATTCAACAACAATGTGACATCCTTCATTCAACAACAATGAGGCATCCTTCATTCAACAACACTGTGACATCCTTCATTCAACAACAATGATACATCCTTCATTCAACAACAATGTGACATCCTTCATTCAACAACAATGATACATCCTTCATTCAACAACAATGCATCCTTCATTAAACAACAATGTGACATCCTTCATTCAACAACATTGTGACATCCTTCATTCAACAACAATGAGACATCTTTCATTCAACAACAATGTGACATCCTTCATTCAACAACATTGTGACATCCTTCATTCAACAACAATGTGACATCCTTCATTCAACAACAATGTGACATCCTTCATTCAACAACAATGAGACATCCTTCATTCAACAACATTGTGACATCCTTCATTCAACAACAATGTGACATCCTTCATTCAACAACAATGTGACATCCTTCATTCAACAACAATGAGACATCCTTCATTCAACAACAATGTGACATCCTTCATTCAACAACAATGTGACATCCTTCATTCAACAACAATGTGACATCCTTCATTCAACAACAATGTGACAACCTTCATTCAACAACAATGTGACATCCTTCATTCAACAACAATGTGACATCCTTCATTCAACAACAATGTGACATCCTTCATTCAACAACAATGTGACATCCTTCATTCAACAACAATGTGACATCCTTCATTCAACAACATTGTGACATCCTTCATTCAACAACAATGAGACATCCTTCATTCAACAACAATGTGACATCCTTCATTCAACAACAATGTGACATCCTTCATTCAACAACAATGAGACATCCTTCATTCAACAACAATGTGACATCCTTCATTCAACAACAATGTGACATCATTCATTCAACAACAATGTGACATCCTTCATTCAACAACAATGTGACATCCTTCATTCAACAACAATGTGACATCCTTCATTCAACAACAATGTGACAACCTTCATTAAACAAAAATGTGACATCCTTCATTCAACAACATTGCGACATCCTTCATTCAACAACAATGAGACATTCTTCATTCAACAACATTGTGACATCCTTCATTCAACAACAATGTGACATCCTTCATTCAACAACAATGTGACAACCTTCATTCAACAACAATGTGACATCCTTCATTCAACAACATTGTGACATCCTTCATTCAACAACAATGAGACATTCTTCATTCAACAACATTGTGACATCCTTCATTCAACAACAATGTGACATCCTTCATTCAACAACAATGTGACAACCTTCATTCAACAACAATGTGACATCCTTCATTCAACAACATTGTGACATCCTTCATTCAACAACAATGAGACATTCTTCATTCAACAACATTGTGACATCCTTCATTCAACAACATTGTGACATCCTTCATTCAACAACAATGTGACATCCTTCATTCAACAACAATGTGACATCCTTCATTCAACAACAATGTGACATCCTTCATTCAACAACAATGTGACATCCTTCATTCAACAACAATGTGGCATCCTTCATTCAACAACAATGAGACATCCTTCATTCAACAACATTGTGACATCCTTCATTCAACAACAATGTGACATCCTTCATTCAACAACATTGTGATATCCTTCATGCAACAACAATGTAACATCCTTCATTCAACAACAATGGGGCATCCTTCATTCAACAACAATGTGACATCCTTCATTCAACAACAATGTGGCATCCTTCATTCAACAACAATGTAACATCCTTCATTCAACAACAATGTGGCATCCTTCATTCAACAACAATGTGGTATCCTTCATTCAACAACAATGTGGCAACCTTCATTCAACAACAATGTGACATCCTTCATTCAACAACAATGTGACATCCTTCATTCAACAACAATGATACATCCTTCATTCAACAACATTGTGACATCCTTCATTCAACAACAATGTGACATCTTTCATTCAACAACAATGTGACATCCTTCATTCAACAACAATGATACATCCTTCATTCAACAACATTGTGACATCCTTCATTCAACAACAATGTGACATCCTTCATTCAACAACAATGGGGCATCCTTCATTCAACAACAATGTGGCTTCCTTCATTCAACAACAATGAGACATCCTTCATTCAACAACAATGTGGCTTCCTTCATTCAACAACAATGAGACATCCTTCATTCAACAACAATGTGACATCCTTCATTCAACAACAATGTGGCATCCTTCATTCAACAACAATGTGACATCCTTCATTAAACAACAATGTGGCTTCCTTCATTCAACAACAATGCGACATCCTTCATTCAACAGCAATGTGACATCCTTCATTCAACAACAATGTGGCATCCTTCATTCAACAACAATGTGGCTTCCTTCATTCAACAACAATGTGGCTTCCTTCATTCAACAACAATGAGACATCCTTCATTCAACAACAATGTGGCATCCTTCATTCAACAACAATGAGACATCCTTCATTCAACAACAATGTGGCATCCTTCATTCAACAACAATGTGACATCCTTCATTCAACAACAATGTGGCTTCCTTCATTCAACAACAATGTGGCTTCCTTCATTCAACAACAATGAGACATCCTTCATTCAACAACAATGTGACATCCTTCATTCAACAACAATGAGACATCCTTCATTCAACAACAATGTGGCATCCTTCATTCAACAACAATGAGACATCCTTCATTCAACAACAATGTGACATCCTTCATTCAACAACAATGTGACATCCTTCATTCAACAACAATGTGACATCCTTCATTCAACAACAATGAGACATCCTTCATTCAACAACAATGTGGCTTCCTTCATACAACAACAATGTGACATCCTTCATTCAACAACAATGTGACATCCTTCATTCAACAACATTGTGACATCCTTCATTCAACAACAATGTGACATCCTTCATTCAACAAGCAATGTGACATCCTTCATTCAACAACAATGTGGCATCCTTCATTCAACAACAATGTGGACATTCCTTCATTCAACAACAATGTGGCTTCCTTCATTCAACAACAATGAGACATCCTTCATTCAACAACAATGTGACATCCTTCATTCAACAACAATGAGACATCCTTCATTCAACAACAATGTGACATCCTTCATTCAACAACAATGTGACATCCTTCATTCAACAACAATGTGGACTTCCTTCATTCAACAACAATGTGACATTCCTTCATTCAACAACAATGAGACATCCTTCATTCAACAACAATGTGACATCCTTCATTCAACACAATGAGACATCCTTCATTCAACAACAATGTGACATCCTTCATTCAACAACAATGAGACATCCTTCATTCAACAACAATGTGGCTTCCTTCATTCAACAACAATGTGACATCCTTCATTCAACAACAATGTGACATCCTTCATTCAACAACAATGTGGCTTCCTTCATTCAACAACAATGTGACATCCTTCATTCAACAACAATGTGACATCCTTCATTCAACAACAATGTGACATCCTTCATTCAACAACAATGTGACATCCTTCATTCAACAACAATGTGACATCCTTCATTCAACAACAATGTGACATCCTTCATTCAACAACAATGTGACATCCTTCATTCAACAACAATGTGGCATCCTTCATTCAACAACAATGTGACATCCTTCATTCAACAACAATGTGACATCCTTCATTCAACAACAATGAGACATCCTTCATTCAACAACAATGTGACATCCTTCATTCAACAACAATGTGGCATCCTTCATTCAACAACAATGTGACATCCTTCATTCAACAACAATGTGACATCCTTCATTCAACAACAATGAGACATCCTTCATTCAACAACAATGTGACATCCTTCATTCAACAACAATGTGACATCCT